CCCCCCCCCAGAAAATCCGCCCCTGGATATGCATGTGATAAAAATTCTGAGTTCAATCATTACATTCACCTACAATTGGAAGATTTATAATATGCATGTTCAGTTCTTATCTTGCATGTCACTCGTGCCTATTTTATAAAAGTACAATGTTACTTCTTATATTTAAATTCGTGAGCAGACCACGAGTGCGCGATATTAAAACTGAGCAAAAATAATCCGCGCGAACAAATTCGCCTAGTAGAAAACAAGCTTAAGAATAAGGTCCAAATGTCTATTAACCCGGAAATAATTTAAGTGTGATAATAATAATAATAATAATAATTATTATTATTGATTTATAATTTAAGTGTGATTTTCTAGTTATTTGTAAATTTCTAGAAGTACCACGTGAACCAAGCGAAATTAACGGTACACAATCTCATACCCAGAGCATGCCCGTTCGCAGGTTAGGGGTGGGCATAATATCCGGGGCTAATACGAATATAAGGATGCGCACGAAGGGGGATAGACTGCACTGAACTTCGTTTAATACGATATAGTTTTCCGTCTTAATTACACAAAACTTGAGGTAGCAAATACTCAATGTATTACGCCAGGTTACAGGATAGCATTTATGAGTTATGGACTAGTCGTAAACGAGCAGGGGTGAAATCCCGCAGCTTCTGACTGTCACCCGTGTCTTCTGACTGTCACATTGTCATCAGTGTCAGTTACTGCAAAAAATAACTGAAAGAAATTGCAAGAAATAACTTTCGCTGGTGGAGAGGTAAGTGGAGAAAAGTAGTCAGTGTGTCGACGCAATAAAGACTGCAAGTTTGAAATGGCTATCAGGCACCGCACTCAATCCCGCGCATGTAACAATAAGCAGACTGCGGCAGCAAATGATCTCACAGTTAACATTAATTGAAATGAAGCGAATAAAGTCATTGGGCGTTTGTTGGTTAATCACGTACAATTTTTAACTCAGTTACTCACTCAGGCACTCTATTTTTTATCAAAGACCGTTGAAACGTCAAGCTAACCAATGGTGCACGTACTTTGTTATTAGAGAAAGAATAAATTCCATCAAGAAGTTGACTTCTTCCTCATTATTTCCCAACAAAACTGTCAAATCTCGTGCAAGCCAAGGTATGAGACGGTGAGTACAGCCTTGATACGTCTTAAAAAACTGGGAAGCTGGAACAAAACATGATGAATAGATTTAGTTATTGGTTTACGTTAACAATAACATGTTAATTGTAGATCATTGTATTAGGCATGTGCATTATTGCATCGAGCCTGCATGGTTTCAGATTAACCCGATTGGCGTACATCTACAATTTCATTACTGGACCAGGTCCCATTTATACTAGAGACACGATGTGAATCATCCGAGCTGGCGGCCATCATCGCATTAGAGCGCAACCTGACTGGTGCTCCAATGGTTATTGCCGCGTACGTGAGCTAGTAGAAACTTAAGACTCAAGATGTACTTAAAATCTTTAGGATGAAGTACATAGTGTACAGGTTTCTGGAAGGTATTCATTCAGTAACCTGAAACTAGTATAGTATACAAAAACACTGCGATCGACTCTAACATTCCTTAGTTGCCATCTCATCATATCAGTCCAATCACATCTAAAGCCAACTCATGCTAGACTTGCACATATTCGGACTAAATTTAATTAGTAAATTATGCATGTTTTGAATAACTTGGGCTTGGAAAGGTCAAATGGTACAAATGAAAAGAAAGTACGCAGATAATAAGAGTACCGCGTAACCAGGGGCGTAGGAAGCTTCTAAAAGTTGGGGGGGCAGGCATCGAGGGGCACTTTCCGAATAAAAAAGGGCATCTAAAATTTTTTCCCCGGAAAAGTTGGAGACGGGGGGGGGGGGCTGGGGGGGGGAGGTCTCAAAATATTTTTCCGGACATACCAAAAAATTTCCGGATATATCAGATTTTTTCCTAAATATGAAGAAATTTTTCCGGATACACCAAATTGGCGTTACCTCCGGTATGTAAGTACACGAATTATCGCACCATGCAATCCTGCATGTAAACACTCTAGAAAGACTAGAAGACTAATAGAAGTTGGTCGTACGTACTATAATCCTTCGTATTGACGATGAACGGATTATCATCTCTTTGTTTAGGCGGATCATCGTTCCCTAGTATACTGTAAGTCGGGCCAATTGACTGTACTGTTTGCTTCACATTTGCCCCATTTTGCCACAATGGCCTCGTTTCCATATGGGACATCAAGATCAAAGACGAACATGGAGTATACCCTTCATGTGCACTGCCATGCTAAAACAGGCAAAATGGAAACAAGGCCATTGGGCAAACGCGCAATAAATTCACGAGTGAATCAAATACGATAAATTTCACATGTGAAAAATATCGTCCACCGTGAGGATACGATTTTTAGTTCACTCATCTATACAGCAAGGAATTATAATGGCAAGCATCACTTCTGGTGAAATGACTGTGATCAGCTGAAAAGCACTTTCAGCCGTACATTACGTAAAAACAAACGCATGCATTTTAAAACAAAACAGCAAAACTAATTGAAAATTACATAATTTAATTTGTTATTTCTAAGATATTATCTGCAAATGGTTTTTAGTAGAAAAGGAGGAATACATTGGTATTTTTTGTTTTCTTCGACCAAATGTGTACCACTCTACTAATACGCACTTCAAATCATGCATTTCTTGTTTGTTTCAAGTATAAATGCCTATAAATGCAATTTATAATATAGCATTTGTAAATTCTGAACGCTGATTGGCTAAGAGCCGTGTTGATATAACTCAATGTCAACACGGAAACGTCGGAAAATTTCTTTCTTTATGTTTCTTTGTGCTATATTATAAAACAAATATAAATAATAAACTTTTTTATTAATCTCGCTTGCTCTATATGTACAGAGAAATATCGGATCTCTGTTTTTTGTACAAACCTCGCCCTATACGGGCTCGGTCTGTACAAAAAAAAGACCTCGGTCCGATATTTCTCCGTACAGACCTCGCGTAATAATCTAAAGTAAGTATAGTAAGTAATAATAAGTGTAATGAAGTGTAAGAGATATAAAATTTGAAGGGTTGTGACTTTTGTTCACTCTTTCAACTGCTTGAAACAATTGTTTATGAAGGTAAAACGTTGTTTGATACTTACAGATACTTCGGCTTCGTTGTTTACCACGTCCCAAACTGGATGTTGCTCGTAAATTAAAAGAATAAACTTGTCTGAATGAAATATAAAAATAAGATTTTAGCTGAAGCATACAATTGATTTCCTCTTGCTTAACTCTTAACCTGACCATCAAATAAGGTAAAACAATCCAAATCATCTTAAACGGGAGACCAATGGATTAAGCTCTTATACAGATATTGCACTGGGAGCGGTTGTACAAAAACGTAGTTAAACTTAAAGTAACTATAGTTAGCGTGAACTACTTTATTAACTGTAGTCAGTTAACTTAGTAGGATATAGTTAACTATTTACTGTGCGTACTAGTTAACTGCGCGTAAGTTGAGATTGCGTGGGGTGGTGCCGCTGGCAAGAATTTTGAACAGGATTGTGGACTGCATTGTGTAAACAGAGTACACGGCTAAAAACGCTGAGCCCGCTGTTTAACAGGATTGAACAATATTTTGCTGCCCACGTTGTTCACACTTGTCAACAATATTGAACCTGAATCGCGTGTAACAAAATTGTTCAATACTGTTGACAACTGTGAACAATGTGGGCAGCAAAACAAATTGTTCAATCCTGTTTTCATCAATATTGCAACAACCTGAGCGTCTTTACGCGTGTAGACGGGAATTTGATTCAAAACATTGAAAAATTAACAAGAATCAAATAGGCAAAATTTAAAGCATGCAAAGGCACTTTCCCGTTATTTTTTAAACCAACATGTACTGTAGCTGTTTGGCAATAATGGGGGCCTACTTCGTCTTCAAGAAATCTTCCTGTGCAAAACTATATTCTGTTTTCGCCAGAAAAACCAAGCGACAGTGTTTGAAGAAAACCTACTACGTGATTAAAGTTACCACTATTTAGTTAACTATACAAAACGGGTATAGTTAAAAAGTAGTTAAGAGTTTTATACAACCAGCCCCTGTAAGTAATTCCATGATCCCCTACAAGTAATTCCAAGGTCTCTTCCTACACTATACTGTACCTTCTTTTGTCAATGCCTCTAATTCTTGTTCTGGTATGTCTTGAACGTCGTCTTGTTGTTGCTTCATTTCCCCAACCTTCACTCCTGCTTTGTCTTGATGCGGCTGGATGCAGCGTGACCTCTGGATGCGGCTGTGTCTCAGATCGTGTGTTGTTATTTTCACTATTATTTCTCAAAGATCTCGTCGTTCGGTACCGGAATCTGTGATCAAGGCAAAGGTAAAGGTTGCTAAGAATCTCTCCCTGAAGCCGGCTGAGCCCCAAGGATCATACATCAAGTTGCGTCATACACAGAAGTCCGCTACTGGAATTTTGCTAACGGAGATGCATGTGCAATCTCTGAATGGCCTTTATTTTGGACAATGTTGCATATTTATCTTCTTGTTATTAGAATTGGATAGATGGATGATTGGAAGAATTTTATCTTTTCTCCAATAATTAAAATCAAAAGCAGTCATAACCACTTTATTTCCAACCTTTAATTTAGTCGGAAAAAAATTAACCAACCAATTTCTATTTTATACCAAATACAGTATAATTCATGAACAATCCCCATTAATTTGTATAACTCCGACTATTTGCGAAGGATGAGCGAAACAGTATGACTCTCATTGGTCACACAGGGAAAGTTAAACTAATGGGCCATTCCCCAATTAACCAAAATTTTGATTTCACCAAGTCTAGACAAAATACCATCATAGCTTGAAAGAGCATCACAAAATTAGTAATATTCCAAAGTTTTGTTGCGAAATGTTGTAAAATGCGGATAATATAGCCTTGCGAAATTTGCAATTTTCAGTCATTTTAGATTACAAACGGGAAATGGTTACCACTTTTCCAAAATTTTGATCTTAACTAGCCTAAACAAAAATTTCATCACAACTTGAAAGAGCATCACAAAATTAGTAATTCGATAGTAATATTCCAAAGTTTCGTTGCAAAATGTTGTAAAATGCGGATAATATAGCTTTGCGAAGTTTGTAATTTTCAGTCATTTTGTAATTTGTATTACGCACAGAAGTGGTAACCATCTCCCGTTTGTAATCTAAAATGACTGAAACTTGCAAAGTCTAGATTTGTTGAGTTCAAAATTTTGGTTAATCGGGGAATGGTCCGTTGGAATCATCCATAATTTATACACTTGAATGTGCCGTATGATAACTCGGCGCTCGAAGTTTCGTATCGAAAGAGGAACAGCCGAACAGGTACGATGGCTAACAAGAACGAGTGTACTTATCAACTTATCTAACGCGAGGAAAAGATCAAAATGGCAGGTATGGCTGTGATATCTAGTATATAAAATTGTATAGACAATTTGCCCACAAATACGGTGCTAGGTCAAAACGGCCCAAAGTCAAAACGGCCCAAAGTCAAAACGGCCCAAAGTCAAAACGGCCCAAAGTCAAAACGGCCCCGCTTCAATAATCATATGATTTAGACCAGGGGTTAAAGGGCAATGACAATGACATGCAGGTGACATTTAACATGTGCGAGTGTGCGTCTCACTAAATTTGCGTGTTTAATAATGTTTATCAAAGAAGGCAAAAATATATACAAGACAACCTCACATGTGGAATCTGTTCACTTACGCACTGCGTTGTGATGCAGTACAAGTACAAATACAAATGACAAAGCATTTTTAAAGGCTTTAAATCCTAAAACATAATTAAATCATACGGCACATTCAAGATTTTAATATCGTATTTCAGCCGCGTTTATACTGCTTGGCGCGCATTCGCTGCGTTATATTAATTTATATACCTATGTTATATACACATATTTATTACTAATAAATCAACACTATATGATAATAC